CTCCACTAGTATCAACTAACTCAAATGGATGGTTAGAAATTAATGAGCATACAAGCTAGTTGAAGTATTGGGTTAGCCAGGTGCTACAGATCAATACGTTTGAATTTGAGTGTTTGCAGTCAATAAAGCTTGGTTGTAACATTCAAAGATGATATACTTTACGGATGTTTTTGGTTAACCAGATGGTCAATAACCGATAAATTGAGTGCTGTTTATGTGATTATCAGGCAGAGCACAGATTGGGAAAAAAGGAGAGTAAGTAACAAATTGCCAAAACAATTGGTATTTATCACATGGAATGGAAAACGTGAGGTAACACACAGAATAAAACGCTAAACAGTTCTACAGGACCCTGTAGCCCATGTGTAATATTGTTTCACAGTAAGAATTTTCCAATGAACCTAGGTTAACATTCTGTGCCATCTTTGTTCGGGAATCCACACTTCATACTCTTACGATTTGCAGTACTGGGTCTTTGCTTAACCCGCAGTCCATAGGTTGTAGCGATCTGTTGAGCTCGTTACACGTTGCGCGTAGAAATAGTATTTTCCAACAGAACACGAAACATAGAGCCTCAATACGTCTTACTGATTGAACGCTATATTCGGATCCTAAGTTAGTTTCGTAACCGTCAATCTAGAAATACACAGCGACTTGAACACGAGAGAAAAGGCACAAAATATGCGGGAAGCACTTTACTCCAAAGGTTCATTTACATACAGAAAATACAGGGTTTTTAAAGCAGCTTAGAAGTTCTTGGGGTTTCCCCGAAAATTATAGAATACTACTAAACATAGTAGCAGTGTAGTAATCAGCCTATCAGAATCTGTACATTTGACTTTTCATTTTCCTGATATTTCTAGCAAAACTTCTAATCAAACGCTGATTGGATAAAATGCTTTTTAATGTTTCTGAGCTTGTCATGTCTATTGCAAGTAATTTGCATGATACATTAAAACACAGAAGTGTAAGCTATAGAATCGGGAATCACCGGTCACTCTAGATCTGTGTACGTATAGAAGGAAATCCAATAAAAATTAAACAAGAGTTTTCATCCTCCACGAGAATGAAGATATCAGTATTCATTTGAGGCGATTGAGAAGACTGTCATCTATTATTCTCCACTAGTATCAACTAACTCAAATGGATGGTTAGAAATTAATGAGCATACAAGCTAGTTGAAGTATTGGGTTAGCCAGGGGCTACAGATCAATACGTTTGAATTTGAGTGTTTGGAGTCAATAAAGCTTGGTTGTAACATTCAAAGATGATATACTTTTCGATGTTTTTGGTTAACCAGATGGTCAATAACCGATAAATTGAGTGCTGTTTATGTGATTATCAGGCAGAGCACAGATTGGGAAAAAAGGAGAGTAAGTAACAAATTGCCAAAACAATTGGTATTTATCACATGGAGTGGAAAACGTGAGGTAACACACAGAATAAAACGCTAAACAGTTCTACGGGACCCTGTAGCCCATGTGTAATATTGTTTCACAGTAAGAATTTTCCAATGAACCTAGGTTAACATTCTGTGCCATCTTTGTTCGGGAATCCACACTTCATACTCTTACGATTTGCAGTACTGGGTCTTTGCTTAACCCGCAGTCCATAGGTTGTAGCCATCTGTTGAGCTCGTTACACGTTGCGCGTAGAAATAGTATTTTCCAACAGAACACGAAACATAGAGCCTCAATACGTCTTACTGATTGAACGCTATATTCGGATCCTAAGTTAGTTTCGTAACCGTCAATCTAGAAATACACAGCGACTTGAACACGAGAGAAAAGGCACAAAATATGCGGGAAGCACTTTACTCCAAAGGTTCATTTATATACAGAAAATACAGGGTTTTTAAAGCAGCTTAGAAGTTCTTGGGTTTCCCCGAAAATTATAGAATACTACTAAACATAGTAGCAGTGTAGTAATCAGCCTATCAGAATCTGTACATTTGACTTTTCATTTTCCTGATATTTCTAGCAAAACTTCTAATCAAACGCTGATTGGATAAAATGCTTTTTAATGTTTCCTGAGCTTGTCATGTCTATTGCAAGTAATTTGCATGATACATTAAAACACAGAAGTGTAAGCTATAGAATCGGGAATCACCGGTCACTCTAGATCTGTGTGA